TTCAGGCCTTTTGAAAATTTATCAAAGTCATTCTAAAAAACAATTACACACACAAGAAAACATTAACTCAACATCCAGAAGTCACACAACAAAAAGGCCTCAAATTTTTGTATCAGCTGCTTAGCACTTCTTATTTTCTGAAACACAGCCATACATTTTTAACTGTATTTATCCCTCCAGTTAATTCAAGGCCACATTCACCCCAGTGAAAGACGTGCATCTTCTGTATGGCTAAGTGATGCCATCTAACACAGTCACATGCTGAGTTATCTGAATGGGATCTTCTCAAGTGCTTTGGATAGAACGTTTTAAAACACTGCTCGTTTTAGTCTGTGGTTCCATATTTAACTGCTAACCTACCTAAAATTATAGAAGCAGCAGGGGAAAGGTAACTCAGTCAGAAAAAGGTTGATTCAAAGGGCTCCTACCTTGTTGGAAGGCTTCATAGCTACGGAAATGACAGGATCAGGGATGTGAATTGATTCCTGCAATGGCCATAAAGGAAGAGATCATACAAAAGAGTTCCACTACACCTGGGGATGTTATTTCTCCAGAAAAGTTTGGTCACAAGAACTCTGGGTTACAAACAGGGATGACTGTTTTAGTTATCTAGCTTGTATCTAATACCATAGCGTAACAAAATCACGTAACTCTCCCGAGGATTACTACAAGGCTATAACGTAACGCATGCCGTACCACCAACCACATTATTTCCAACATAGTTTCCCAGATGCAAGTTGATCTCTGGATTTCATACGAGTTAGAAGACTCTGCTTCCTATCAGATTTTGTAAATGTATATATAAATAAAACAGATGTATTTCAATACAAATACATCACTTTATATTTTGGGATAACAGCATCCACTTCTAACAGCTCAGAACAGTTTGCTAACACTGAAGTAATATATTTGATGTCAAGCGTGGTAAACAGGTGTGTCTGTCTGTTGCACATACCATACTTCTATATATTCAGGCTCCCTGAGGTATAACAAATAATCACAAAAAAATATTTACAGTTGCATATACATCAAAAAATATTTAAACTGAATAAATGATTACAAACTTTTACAACAAAATCCTGGTAAATTCCAACGCACGAAGCATACAGATGCAAAGGTGTACTCACCATGGAAATGTCAGTACTGGTTTTATCAGTGAATGTATCCCCACTAGCACAATCAATTCCAAACAATGCACATATGTCTCCTGCATAAACTTCATTTACATCCTTAAGAAAGAAAAGTTTACTATTTAGATAACACTGAAAGACATGTTACAAACTACACCTGGCTTTAAGAAGATATACAACTACTGTGTTTAAAAGCTTGAAGTTAAGCTCCTTTGAAAATTCCAGCTCTGATAAAATGCTCTGCAAATCATCTCTCTCTTTACTCAAAGCATGAAAAAGGAGACCTCAGCTTGGATGCTAACTTACTCTAGTTTAAGGATGTGCAGCAAGCAACGTACTATGTTTCAGGCAGTCCTGACCCTGCTATGGAGTTCAGGAATCTTAAACAGGAAAGGGTAGTATTTGCAGCAGTTTGAGAATCAATTTTTAGTTTAAGAATTGTATTCAATTATCACATGGAAGAAAACTTCTTTGTATATTTTGCCAATCTTACTTCCCCTCTCCCAGAAGAATGGAATATGGGAATAATACCACAGCGGGCTTTCTTTAGCTCTCACCTCAAAGCCATTTTATAATGCTTCCTGGGCAAAGATTCTTCCACTTCAGTGGAAATAATACACTAGAAATCATTCCAGTTTCTTGTAGAGCTCTGTTAGGTGCTACAGGCAAGTACGATTAACAACAAAAGCAGAAATTTGACATACCACATCATTCAGAGATAGCTGAAAAGCAAGAAGCTTGTTTGGTACGAGTGGTTCAAAAGGCAATCCGTGTGGATTGTACCTCTCACACTCACCTCCATGTTGTCTGAATGCATACGGGCAAGTCTTTGCACACGCACTCTCTTCCCAGTCCTGGTGTTATAGATATAATCAGATTTCTTCAGCATCCCCTGATACACTCGAATATAGGTTAATTGCCCAAACCGGCCAGCCTGGAATCAAAATTCATTAAAAATCAAAATTAACCTTCTGGGAGTTAAGACCACTACTACTCAAAGCATGATCTGCACTGACTGGCTAGATATTTCTGTTTTGAATTTAAACACTAGACATGTAAATGAAACTTTTTTTAACGTAGTCTCAGCTTTCACTTGGCTCTGGAATGGAACTTGGCATCTTCTGGCAATTTTCTTTACTTCTCCAATTTTACCAGTCCTAAACCTTCCCAACAGGGACATATGTTAACTAGCAATTTGGCCATCCAATTTCCATATGAAAATCTGAACTGCTACTCTCTAAGTAGCAAACAACTTGTTTGGTTAAAACAGTGTACTTTTTCCTCTCCAACTCTCTCATGTTCCATTATTTTCAACTTCAAACAAAGCCAGGATTTTTCTCGGAAAGTATTTGATATAAGCAAATAAACTCCCCAGGTTTTAACTAAGAAAATCATGAAGAATTTGAGGCACATAGCCCATTTTAAAACTTCCAAATTTGGCAATGTTTGATACATTTGTAGATTTTATGGTTGCAACTAGTTTTTTTGAAAGACGTTAAATTTAAATTGAATTTAAACAAACTGATTTTAAAATTTGTTCCACATAAGTTTTGGTAGTACTATCTGTTTAGACTCGCTGTGTTTTCTACTCAAATCACAACTAATGAACCTGGATACCTTCTTTCCCCCTTCAGGGTTAACACAATGTGAGTACAATTTTTGAAGTCCCTCTGCAGAGGTCCAATACTGGGAAACTTGCAAGCAATTGAATAAAGTCAGCTAGCTAATGTTCTGGGCATCCATTCTCTAGAAACTTTCAGTTTAGCTTTACCATATACACAGCAAGTAAAAAAGCCATCGCGTGCACAAATAAATACACTGAAAACGCAAAGCTTTAAATGTGTGCTTTTCCCAAAAAATGAAAGGCATTTCCCAGGTATCAACCACAAGCCACCCATAGCTCAGTGCAAGCAGGACTTGCATACACCGACAACTCTTGCAGGAAATGCCCTGCTTCTCTGCTGGTTTTGCTGCATTGGAAAAGAAAACATTAACAGCTTACCTCCAATTTAAAAGCAAGGCCTATAAAAGGCTGGGAATCGTCTCGAGCAGAGTTCAATAGGAACTTGCTTTTGTCCTCAGAATCCCTTAAAAATAGGGATGGAGAAGGAGTTTATGTTATGAAGCAAACATGGCAGCCTCCTCTAAACATGAGCTCAACCTTAGAAAGTAAGTCAGAAAGGGCCTTCAGTTTCACAGGTTTATAATAGAGACTTAAAGATGCTCACATACGTAGCTCCCATATGCTGAGGAAGTATCTCAGAGAAAACTGCCGCA